GAGAGAGAAAGAGAGAGAGTGAAAGAGAGAGTGAGAGAGAGAGAGTGAGAGAGAGAGAGAGAGAGTGAGAGAGGGAGAGATATTGAGAGGCAGGGACAGAGATAAATTCAGTGAGGGAGACAGAAAGAGATCGAGGTACAGACAGAGACGGAAACAGAGATATAGACAGAGACGGAAACAGAGATATAGACAGAGACGGAAATAGAGATATAGACAGAGACAGGGACAGAGATAAAGACAGACAGGGAGACAGACAGAGACAGAGAGATATATATAGAGAGAAGGAGAGAGACAGATTGAGAGAGGAAAGGGAGGGGGTGGAGGAACAAGAGAGAGAAAGACGGGGGAGGGGGAGGTGACAGGGGCGTTATGTCCATTACAAAGGACCAGTAGTTATACAGAGATAAGGGTAGGTAATGAAGCAGAAACTTTGTTGAGGCCTGGTCGCGATGTGTGGGCGTGGTACCAGTCACTGAAGTGCCCATTTCTTGTGTAGTCTACTCCTATTAAGCCGTCTGAGTAGTTTTTTCAAGGCTCTGCACCCATTCAGTCTAGCCTTATTGACGGGGAAGCATTCTAAATTTAGATACCCCCGTTCGTTAAACAAACCATGGGGTTAAATAGGGCGTATGATCTAAGCAACATACACTGTAACCCACTACAATGCTTATATGTGCGGAAAGTGGAAGTTATTTTTAAGTCACTCTCTCAGTGAAATCGTTCACATGTACTAAGTAATCTCTCGATTTCTTGGCGGTCGTATTATCTTACTTGATGAGTTTTTAAGAGGTTTGTTATCAAGCCAGGACTCAATACATTCAAGATACAACGTCGAATGGATATAATGATGATAACAATGAATAATCTAAAGCGCAAATTACCGTTTTACAGCATGCTCGACTCGCTTTACAATCTATGATATTATTGGCTATGCCTCTCTTTTGAGTCATCAGGGAAGACACGATCTGGAGGGAGGGAAGAAATACTTGGGCAGTCTACTCTTTTATGTCTTCCGCTCGGGCAAGGCGGTGTCACATATAATCATGTACAGGTTTATGATCATGAGACATAGTGGTGAAATCAGGCGCTCGTCAAAATAATGAAATCGGAGAAACCGTTATTTTTCTATCCGTTTGGCTATATTCATCAAATTTTATTTTTTTGGGCTCAAGGCTTTTTATTTACATGAAAAAACTCATTTTTGTGTGGATATTACAGTAAACGTTGATTAAAGACACACAAATGGGAGTTTACAGTTTCTAAGGACTTTCACACTCTAAAAGCCACCGATATTTGGCGGATATTTTCTTGAAAATTTTAGCTCTGAAATGAGGCGACCCCAACCTCTTTCAACAGCAAACATCTCGACCTTAGTTCAAGATAGCGGAAATAAGACACATGAACAAGCTTTTAGATGAAACCAATAACTACACATTTATGCTTAAAAGTTAAAAGCGACGAGCGCCTGATTGAACCGGGGTCAATACACATACACAATTTTATAACACAAAATGTCTCCAGTCCATGGGGGCTGGTCCGACTGGGGTCTGTGGTCAAAGTGTTCGAGCCTGGATTGTGAGCCGGGTCTTCGGAAACGGAGCCGCTCCTGCAGCAACCCGTCTCCCAGCTGGTGCGGACGTCCTTGCCCCGGAACAGAGTCGGAAAACGCAGCCTGTGTTGCCGATCATTGTTGTGGTGAGGACCCTCCCCTCTCCCCATAATGTAGATAAATAAATA